AAAAAAAACATACATTTTTTTATCTTTATGATGAAAAGTTCTTTCCCACAATGGATTGTGATGCATTTCTGGCCAAAGAAAAACAACAATGACAAGACCAGTACAGAAAATTAAAATACATGATAAAAGACTCCTTAATACTCAGTATTACACAGTTTGACACCAAAAATAAGGTAGTGTGCAAGATTGCTACAGCAATAACTGCTTGCCACTAAACACCGCATGTTGCCCTTGGCAAAATATGAGGATCTCACAAATTACCACTTTAAATGAGAAATGCCACTTCATATTTCTGCGCGAGTGTGTGCGTACTGTGGTGTTTTATGCAGCCACCTGGGCTGCTAGAGCCATGCAGAGAGCAGTTTGTATATCTGACATTTTAATGTAATGCACTCTAAAACAACAACGGCAGAAACCATGGGTATGAAAATTACAGTAGAGGCATCACCTCTTTGACACACTCAATAAATATGTAACATGTTGTGTCCACCTTTTGTACAGAAAATGTTCTGTGCAACTAAAATGAAAACGTATGAACACAAGCTGGTGGATCCTCTTAGCCAAGAGCCCCACATATTTGACAAAGGACTTTAAAGCTAACAGCTGCTGATTAATCATGATGGGACTAAATTACTGGCTGCCTCTCAACCGGGTATGGAGCTGGATGCCCAGTGCACTAAGAACCTCCTTTGCATGTACTTGACAGCTGCATAGACTAAGTGCCACTTTTGCCAATTTAGCTGCATCTTTCTACTCCTTCTACAGTAAGCCAAAATAGCTTTGAAATACTGTGCATTTAAAGTGCTATCACACATTCAAAATCAATTGTTAATTTATGGGGGAAATGGTTCCTGGTAAAATTTAGACTAGTAGATTTTATGACTTATGACAATCTTAATAACTCCTATTTTGTTTACACATCACTATGTAAAACAGAGCTTTGGAGAGTGGCAGAAAATGACACCAATTACTACTCCAAATTAAAGATTAACCTTTAGCTATTCAATACTTCCTATGGTTGTTTCATGGTAAAATGCATTACAATACTTTGCTCTAAGGCTTTCATTGCACACATTACATTACATACATTTATACATAGGATTCATTAAATTGTTTAATAAAGTCACCAGTGCAACAGCTATTTTCCTGTAGTTTGCAGAGGGAGGAAAATTACTGAAGCAGCTGTCAGATTTTGTTCGTTTGAACAACGTTAGCTATAGAATTTTTTTAGGGCTGACCACGAATAGTCGAAGATTTAATACATCTCAAAGTCAAAGCTTCACAGCGAAACGAGGATCATGCCATTTTGGTGATATGATGGTGCTCAACGTCTGATTTTACATAGAACTACCAATTTTCTCCAAGTAAGTTAATACCTATTACAATATAAATTTCAACACATAATACTATAAATAAAAATGTGAAAAGTGTGGGACTAAAAATGTGAAAAGTGTAACCCTAACCCTCAAGGCAGGGTGCATCAGTGGGCATGTGTATTGATGAACCACACAAAGAATATTACATCGTATTTAAATAGTACTTGTAATAGACCCGCGAGGAACCTCAACATGCATGCAGTTGTCGGCAGCATGCACGCAAAACTCTGCACAAGACCAGTGAATGGCAGGCGAGCAGAGAAAACATGGTCAAAAATAAGCCTCAGTTTAGCTGGAAATGTACAGTGTAAGTTACACTGACTAATGAACAGAGACTGAAGCTTCTGAAGATTAAAGCGGAGCTACTGTGTTTAATGTCCCCACTCCCACCCCTGGCTTGGAATTGCCGTACACAAACATACATAGGAGTACATGATTCATCTATCAGTTGACTAAAGGCAAAACTTGACAACTCTGATTCGACTATGTAAATCCTTAGTCGGGGATAGCCCTGGCATTTTGAATTTATTTTGTGGTTTGTTAAGTGAGGTATACCCTGGTTGTGTAGTAAACACAGTCCGACACTCCTGTGTGAGAGGGACTCGCAAAAACCAGGGAAGCAGTGGGCCTGTTCTTCTTTTGGGCTGGCAATTGAACTGAATTTAGTTGTCATACGCCAAATACTTTATGGCTTTGTCACATTTTAATTTTATCATTGGCTGGTCAACTTAGCCATCACGCTGCATCAAATGAAATTAGATTCGATTAAGTTAAATGGCTATGAAATTAGCAGAAAAATGAATTAGGGATATATAGTAGCAAATGCTGAAATAGTGTCTAAAAGACTGAGCCATGAAACATAGAGGTATAGTTTATTGTTGTGGCAGTTATCAGAAAATAAGATCTGCTACTGATGGGGGGAAAGCGGGTTTTATGAACTATACACATAGGCCACTGTGATGTTTGTGATGATGTTAATTTAGTTATGGTTGTATGTGTTTGTCATATAATTTTTTCAACCACAGGAATGTCAGTTGTGATAAGTGATAATGAGACAAGGTCAGAAAGACACAAAGAAGCTGTATTTGTTTAGATTGGCTATGTTGTTTACTTTATTTTGTCTAGGTTATAGATGATCTGTCTTAAGAGTTCATGTAGGATTATTATTGTAGGGTGTCATTTGTTTTAGATGGTTTTGAGTATCAGCGGTGAAAATCTGTCACCTTTCAATGACAATATATCAAGCTTGGTGCTGTTAATTAGCCTGATATAGTTGAGTTGTTATGATTTACCAAACAATAGCCATTACAATTTGGATATAACGTTAGGTAATAACGTTGTAGTCTCATGTTAGTGTCTCTTTAAGGCCCCCCTCGCTAAAAGCCCATCTTCTTCTGATATGTCAACTTCCCGATGCCTGCTAAAGACTTGTGAGCCACTCTAACCACTTCTCTTATACAGCCAGTGCTGTGAGCCTGCATCGCTTCACCCTCTTGCCATTGTGCTGAATGGCATATGACAGCTTACATACAAACCTATCTTGGAAAATAGCGATATGGGGCACTGGATTTGATGAATTTACAAGAATTAGGTTGGAAAAACGGTAGACACCGCTTAGTGCTTCTGTGGGCCAGGTAGGTACCAGAAATGCTTGGTCTGGCAGATCTACTCTTGGCCTCACTAATAACTGTACAAAAACACGCAACTTTTATAACTTTATTCCCAGATTATGGTGAAACTGGACCATATTTTATTGAGTTTTAGATGGACAGATAACTTTAAAGTAAGTGTTAGCACTTACTTTAAAAGTTATGTAACGTTAGTTGCGGTTAGCTCAGCTACTGAAGTCAGCAAAGCTAGCTGCACGGCTATCACTAAAGGTGCTTTTAGACCAAAAGCGAAGTTTGGGGCGGTGAGTTTAAAAGTCAATGCAAAGATGCATAGAGCTGTGATTTCCTGTCAGGCAGCGCAAAGCGACGCAAAGGGGGCAGGGCAGGCGGCGCGAAGGCAACGCAAAGGAATTTGCGTGAGTTGAATATTTTCAACTGAAGTGAGAAAGTCGCATGACGCTGAGTCATGATAGCCTATCAGTGTTGAGATTCTCCGTACATCACCGACGGCTTCAGAGCAATGTGTGGAGAAGGCCGGGCAGAGCTGCTAAACCTGGGGGAGAGGAGCAGGGAACAGTGCTACAACCTCTGGACAAATAAACACCCGTAGTCAGACTGGATTATGCTCTAACAACTACGGCGTTTACTTGCGGGAGGAGCTTGGAGTAAACTGCTTTTATTAAATTAGCTTTTTGGGATTACAACATTGATTTATCTTCACTGGAGCTTCTCAGCAGCTAGCTTCCGTGCACATCCGGTTCCAGTGTCGGACTACGACTTCATATTTATATAAAAAACTGACAAAACTGGACATTACTTGGAGAAAAGAAAGCGAGGAGGTTGATCTACCTGGTGAGTTCAGAAAACATGTGTCTGTAACTTTATTCCAACTATCATTATACTTTACTGTGACCACGTTAGCCCTGATTGATCCAAACTCCATTCAGAAAATAAACATTTTAGAAGTTGTTGTCCTGCTGTCTTGCTGACAGAGCATGAATTCATATGTTTAACAAATCTGCATCATGTTGTAGTTGTAGTAGTTTCGGCATCAGTTTAATCCGTTTATTGCTATTTAATCACAGCAAAATGTTTACTTACTACTTGGTTCATACAGCTGTAGTAATGGCAAATTGTGTTTATTCACGTTATCGTGTTAAGATCGCCTTCTCGTGTTGTGTGTGAACACATGCAGCGAATGTACTCACGCGAGGAAAGCGTGGCGAGGAGAAAATTCGCGTTTGATCTGAATGCCGCATAAGAGCTGGAGAAAGCACTTTAAGTAGAGTGGTGGGATACTGGGACTTTGTGGATGTGATGTGCCTGGAGCAGATCATGTGCTGATGACCGTATAAGGACATCCATGCCTAGCTGAAGTCAGCTAGGCAGGAAAGTGGAAAAAATGTCAAATAAAACTAATATTCAGAGCAGTCTGAAGCCTGTGCTTTTTGCTCACATGCATTACTTTTACATAGATTTACCTCATTATTTGAAACTTTGGCCGCATTTAGTATGAAAGTCCAACATTGTAACAATATATATATGACATAAAATAAGAGAAAGCATAAAAAGTCCTCTTTAAAAAGCCAGCGCAAATCGTTCAGTCAGCCTCTGGAATAGAGATGAGAGCCTGTCCTTGGAGCACCTGTCTTGTAGTTGTCAAAGGGAAACTGGATGTGTGCGTGTGTGTGTGTGTGTGTGTGTGTGTGTGTCCAGAATGTGGAAGTATATCTTGATCCACAGCAGCTGCCCCTGAAGCACAATGACAAGCATGCTCATTCAAACACTCTTTGTGTTAAGTAGGATAGAATCAAATCTGTTTTATTTTCAGATGGAGCCAAATCCTATTTGTTTTCTTTCTGTCCCAACAATACTTTTCCGTAATCACATTAACACAGTTGATGTGAAAAGTTGAATATATAAAATGAGCTCTTTTATCAGCAGTCTGTCATGAATTATCATTTTCTCTTCAAATTTAAATTTTGGGTATACTGAAATGACATTTGTGAGGCAGTTTGTAATCATATTTCCTTTATTAATGGAGTTTTCTTTATGGATGTCCATATCCTTATCTCACTGGCATTTCATTATATTTCAGAGTGTTTATTAAAAAGAACTAATCATAGGTCTTGGGGCCGACATATTTTCATTGAACTTCATTAACTGCTGCTTTTGATAACATAGTGACACTAACTATGTGACATGCTCACCTCTAAATGGACAAATGTTAAGTAAGGATCCAGAATGTGGAGAAAACAGAGCTAATATTAAGTCCTTATGGTTAAATGTCCCTTTCACCCAGAGAGAATATGCTTTACAAAGGAGGCATAGTTGATACACCCGTTGGCATCCTCCTGTCCAGCCATCAGTCTGTCCACCTCGTCTTCTGTCATCCTCTCTCCCAGTGTTGCCAGCACATGACGCAGCTCTGCTCCCATGATGGTGCCATTGCCTTCCTTGTCAAAAACCCTGAGCCCCTCCACAAAATCCTCAAAGTTGCCTTGGTCTTTTGCACGGGAGATATGTTGCAACATTGGCAAGAAGGTCTCAAAGTCCACCATTTTAGTGCTCATGTCTTCTGGTCGTGGTTTTCCAAGCACTTTCAGCACATCTGCATTGGTCGGATTCTGGCCGAGAGCTCGCATCACGTCTCCGCACTGAGCGTATGTAATCTTCATTTCTCCAGTCGGTGTGCGGTCGAACAAGGTGAAGGCTTCCTTGAACTCCTCAATCTGGTCAGCGCTGTACTCAAGAGTGATGCTTTTGGGATCAAAATCAGGCTCCTTGGGTGGCGCAGGCAGTGGCTCTGGAGGTGGAGCTGGCTTAGCAGCTGGAGGTGCGTCTTTCTTAGGCTCTGGTTTTTTGGGCTCAGGTTTCTTAGGTTCAATCTTCTTTGGTGCCATGTTGTTAAAGGATTCAGAGGTGAGCTGGTACTCGCTGAGAAACAAGCAAGTATCTGAAGGGATTGGAAGTGATTCCCAAGCACAGAGGGTCAACCTCCCCTTCCAAAGCTTTTATAAGTGCTTTATCTAGGGAGCGAGATAGCAATTTCCAACAGCACACTATAAAAGGAAGAAAACCAAAATAGATTCCCATAGCAAGTGATGTCAACATTAAGTATTGTTCTCAGCTGCTGTCATCTAGCCGACAGGGCTATTTGCTGTCATTAGCGAGGGTCCAGTTGCATTAGGCCGAAAATGTTCTGTCTCTCTGATGGACAAAGGGATCACAGCAAAGTCAATGTATAAGCCCATGAGGGAGAGGGACCAAAATAGCTTTTCGTGCTATATCATAAAAAACTGGGAATCATTACTTTCTGGAACAATGCTTTTCCCCCCCAGAAGTTGTAGAAAACTCACAAATAGTTATAGTCCATTTCAGGATCGATCAGCACACTTAACAAGAGGGGGGCATTCTCTTTTGAGAAAATAAGATGTTAGGGCTTGAGGGAAATGCATTAAATCTGTCTTAGAATCTACGCTATGACTTTATAGTTTGTAAGAGACAGAAGGTCTTCCAAACCTTTTTTCAATGAGAGATGCGTTTGGATACTATCAGTGCCCAATAATACAGGGGATTATAATTTCCCCTGTATAATTTGGGGATTTTGGCAATTTCTCATTTCCCAGATAAATGATAGCTTGCATTTTCTCTCCTGTCACTTAGAGCGTTCCACGATCTTTAGAAACCTGGCATGCTCTCACAGATCCTAACGGGACTCTTAATTAATGCTTTCTTAAAGGCTGATGTACTGAAAAGGTCAACCAGTTAAGCCCATAAATGTTAAAAATACAGTCTGTGCCAGTATCCATTGTAAGACAGTATATATGTTGTCTGCTGCAGATGCCTGATTGATATTTTGTATAGATCCTATAGATTTAAAAAATAATAATTTTAGTTACATGCTTATTTTTTGTAATTTACACAATTTACAATTACAGTGCTTTAAACAATAATACCGGGTATTCAAATGTGTCAAGTCTCTGTGTGTTTTCCATGCCCAACTCTTTGTACAGTATGTTATATCTTTCATGCAAGCAAGGCTATTCCATTATGTGTCAAGTTTATAAATACGTAATATGTTTCTAGGCTTTATGTAGATGACTGCTGTGTAATACCCTCCAGTGAATGATAAATAACCAACAAAACATTCATTTCATTTACGGGAGGATATGTATAGGATGTGAAGTTCTGTGCCACAATTTTAATCACGCAATTGTAATTTTATGCATACATCACAGTTTATCAACTCAGTTTAAGACAGCTAAAGCCTGTCATGCGATAATTGTATTCACCCTTCTCTATCTTCATGCCAGTCCCCCTTGATTCATCAATCTAGAGCTTGAAGTCCTTGGACAGTGTAGTTAAAGTGTGCAGATGTGTGTGTGTGTCTGTATAGTTGTCCTTAGCCTAAGATCATTATCACCCTTTTCTTTGCTTTTGAGGTCATATGTCTAGTAAAACTGACAGCTAATTTGTCGTCCTTTGGTGTGCATGTGGGTCTGTGCACATTTGTGTCTGACAGAAACAAAGAGTGAGACCTGCAAAGGCCAAATGGAACATCGATATATAAACTTCATAAATGTAGGATTCTAGGTATTTCCCTTATGGCCATTATTGAACAAAAATAAATGACAAAATGGTTCAATGTTTTACCTCATTTGCTATATGCGCTTCACTTGGATGGGTTACTTACTGGTCATTTCATCCACCAAAGAGCAATTTAATCCTCTCCCATTCATAGTAACCTCAAAGTTACAACAGCTGCTGGTTGGCATCTTTAAATTTCAGCAAAGATAAACCCCATGTTGTATGTGAGCAACATCAAACATCGAGTATCACAGAGAAACAAACTATTGCAAAGTCAGCTTTGTGGCTTGAGCATCAGCTCAAAACTCCGGAGCAGAAGCTTTATCCAGCTGTCACTTGGCTGTACACAGATATGGTGCTGCGTCATGGAGGTGCACACTTGTTATTGTTTCTGCTTTCCCTTAAACTTCTATTGCAATGACTGAAACAGTGGATTACTGCTTTCAGCATCTCAAGTAAAAGCTGTCTTTGATTTTGATTGATTGATGGATTGATTTTATCTAATTTTCAAAAGCTCAACTTAAACTTTGCTGTATCACTACTTACCAACTATGTACTTCTGTCATGAAAAGGTTTTTATGATTTGGGATATACAGGCTGAAACGGCAAGTTTCTGATCACTGTCTTCACGGACATCTTCTTGAGTGGCACAGAGTTAATAAGTAAAACAATCAGTATGATTATAAAAAAAAATGCTGCACATGGTAAAACTGAAGTCTGATACCACTCAATATTGAAGATGATGTTTAATATTGCTTGATGCCCCTGTGTTTCACAACTCAACAATGCACATTATTACAAGTGTATAAGAGTACAAGTAAATATTTTCAATGCGCTGTCTGAATGCGGCTCATTCAAACATAACATCCTATCTGTTAAAAAAAGTCTAGTCCAGTGTTACATTCCTTACTGAATATTGATACCTTGATGCCATGGTGACCTAATGGATTTATAGTGTTAACATTCTCCTCTCAGGCCTGCAATGTAACCAACAATAGTTCTTAATTGAGTTGCAAGATGTTGATGTGCATTGTGTCACTTTCTCATATTTGGGTTATCCTTGTTTTGAAGCTTCACTAATCAGTATTTTTATGTTTGCAATGAGCACCAAAATCTAAACTAAATCACTATATGTAATATGAAAGAGACAACTCATGGTAATAAACCTACAAGCACTATGGAGAGATGGAGCAAATTTCACTTTTATCAGCCTAGTGTACAAATGGTAAAACAAAATAATAATTGTAAATAAATAGTGTAATGTAATACATGTCATGGCTTTGTGTTAGTGATCTTTAAAGATGATGGGATTCCTCTCTTCTCTTAAACAATATTGTCCATACAAAAAACTTCACAATAGCTATTCTGAGATGCTTCTGGGCAAGAGAAAAAAAAAATTTAACCTTTATCCACAAAATCCCTACCTAAAGTCAGTCATTCCACTGTTAACTCCACTGGGTAACTCATGTGTGGGTGAGTGTTGGCTTGCATGCCTGTGTTTTTGGGGAGGTCCTCAGAGCGTTTGTTTATATCTGTGTGACCAGGCAAAGAGAGGGTGGTCAAAGACAGCCAGCCCTTAATCCGTGAGATAACACTGGGAATGAGGGCAGGCAGACCACTGGTCTGGTCTGCGCTAATAAAAGAGAGTGATTGAGACAGCGGTTACATTCCTCCTATGGCCCTGACAGGGTGTGACTTAGACTTTAAAGATTCAGTGTTTAGTTAAGTGTCTAAAAAGGGAATCAGCTCTAAGCCCTTTCTTCCCACTGGAGCCCTATTGACTGTGTTGAATATGTAATAATTTCACTCATCTCGTATTCTAAACAGAATACTCTGTTCATATAAGAATAAGTGAGGGGTTCTCCTCTGTGTGAGACAAAAACATTTTAAAACTCAGACAATGTTATTTATCCTTGGAAACCCCCCAATCAAACCAAACAAATCTGTGGCTCCATAAGAAGAGCCAGCTACTGTACTATGGACATTTAAGTGTCTTGCTAAAAATACTATGAATTCATGGAATCAATATGTTGAACAAAAACTATAAACACCAGCAGCTGCCCATCAAGATTCAATTATGTGTTGACAGTAAGGTATTTAATGCCTAAACATTATTGTGCACCCTCCCTCACCACCACCACCACACACACACACACACACACACAGCTGCCACTCCAGAGAGCCATCAACATCCACTCTTCCAAACAGATATAGCAATTGTTTGAATTAGCTAATCTCAAATAGGATTTCATTTCTCTATTTTATGGCGCCCTATAGAGTGTAGTGAACAGCCATACAAAACTTTTCTTATGCGTTCAGTAATAACATTGCGTTGTTATAATGGAATGACTGTTGCAGGAACCAGCTTGCAGACATCTGTGTAAACAATTTAATTAAGACCATGTTTGATGAATTATAGCTGGTGAAGGCACTGCCTGTTCTAATACTTCAGTTTCTTAATTACACCAGACATCCATGTGTTCATTCGCTTTGCCTGCCCCATACTCTTTCCCCCAGCTCACAATGATAGAAATTGAAAAACTACAAAAGGGAAAGTGCATTTCACACTCTACTGAAGCAAAGCAAGCAATTTGAAATTAATCAAAACACAATAAGTTTACAACATGATAAAGAGGTGCTGTATATGAAATGAAGGGAGTCAATTTGTGATACTCAACTCTATGTTTTGTATTACAACATTCAAAATGGTAGTGTCCAAGAATTGCATTTGGACTAAATTAGATTTTAGGTGAGAAAGGTGAAATATTTACATTATTATAATAAACAAGTCTAAATATAAAGTCTTAGTTATCCTTTCCGGTAGGCCTAAATGGAATTTGCATATGCTCTTTTCACACATGAATGACAGACGGAAAAAAACCTCAAGCAAACGGAATTGTGTCTCTCATGCAGACAGTTATACAGTTACAGTTAGTTTTACAGCTCTATATATAGATCCGACCTTTGTCATTGCAAAAGGTACACCATGAGTGAAGCCAAGCATTGAATGTCAGCACTCGTAATAACAATAGCCCTGACTTAACCCACTGAACCTTGAGTCAGAGCGGAGCATATTTCATGCTCAGGGTCCGATTATCATATGTGATTCAGATAATCGGTGTATCCTGTTTCCTTAGAGGGGCCCATCGAATACACCACCCCAGGTCAAAAATCAAGCAGAGTTATATTCAGGGCCATGTATCCCAATTAGATAGGCTAAAGAACAGCAAAGTTAAGTGACATTGGAAAATGCTGTTTGTTTATATATATTTACAAAGTAATTGTCATTTCTAGCACAAAATGGTCTGTGTTATGCTTTTGGAATTTTACACTTTACACATTTCTTGTTGAATTTATTTCTCACTGTGACAAATTTATAACAATGCAGAAGGTTAGCTGGGGCCATTG